CTGGCCTCCCAAAGTGCTGGGATTATAGGTGTAAGTGCCACCGTACTCAGCTGCAAACATTTTCTTTCTTTTTTATTTTTTTTGAGGCAAGGTCTGTCTCTGTTGCCCAGGCTAAAGTGCAGTGGCACAATCTATGTTCCTTGTAACCTCTGCCTCCCAGGTAGCTGGGACCACAGGCATGTGCCACCATGCCCAAATGTTTGTTTGTTTGTTTGTTTGTTTGTTTGTTTGTTTGTTTGTTTGTTTGTTTTTTGAGACAGAGTTTCGGGACGAGGAGGGAAAAAAAGAGAGAGAGAGACACTTTCACTCTCTCTTTTTTTTTTTTAATTTAGAAATGGGGTTTCACCATGTTGGCGAGGCTGGTCTTGAACTTCTGACTTCGTGATCCACCCACCTCGGCCTCCCAAAGTGGTGGGATTACAGGCGTGCGCCACTGCACCTGGCCGAGAGACAGAGTTTCACTCTTATTGTCCAGGCTGGAGCGCAGTGGCACGATCTCAGCTCATCACAACATCCGCCTCCCAGGTTCAAGCGATTCTCCTGCCTCAGCCTCCTGCCTCAGCCTCCTGCCTCCTAGGTAGCTTGGGATTACAGGCATACACCACCACACCCAGCTAATTTTGTATTTTTAGCAGAGGCAGGGTTTCACCACATTGGTGAGGCTAGTCTCGAACTCCTTACCTCAGGTGATCTACCCGCCTTGGCCTCCCAAAGTGCTGGAATTACAGGTGTGAGCCACAGAGGCCAGCCTGCTAATTTTTGACATTATCTTCTTTTTCACTGCTCACCTCAGGTCTGATAGTTTTCCAATTAGTCTCAGCCCTCACAAGAACCCTCTTATTGTCAATGCAATCTTTCCAAAAGCCACTCCACATTTATATACTCAAGATTCCTGCTGCCTACTGAATTAAGTACATCTGGGGCCAGGCGTGGTACCTCACACCAGTAATCCCAGCACTGTGGGAGGCTGAGGCAGACAGATCATCTGACGCCAAAAGTTTGAGACCAGCCAGGCCAACATGGTAAACTCCATCTCCACAAAAAAAAAAAAAAAAAAAATACCAAACAAATGGCCGGGCACAGTGGCTCACGCCTGTGATCCCAGCAGTTTGGGAGGCCAAGGTGGGCAGATCACCTGATGTCAGGAGTTCAAGATCAGCCTGGCCTATCTGGTGAAACCCTGGCTCTACTAAAAATACAAAAAATTAGCTGGGCACAGTGGTGGTAGCCTAAAATCCCAGCTACTCAGGATGCTGAGGAAGGAGAATCACTTGAACCTAGGAAGTGGAGGTTGCAGTGAGCCGAGATCGCGCCACTGCACTCCAGCCTGGGCGACAGAGTGAGACTCTGTCTCAAAAATAAATAAATAAATGATTTTTTAAAAATAAAGGGAAAAGAGGAACTCATACTCAGTAAGTTTCTTCTGAAGCTCTATTATATGCTAAATTCTAGGGATCAGAATATTGACAAGAATAAAGTTTGACACCCACCTTCAAGACTCCAAGCAAACAGGAAACAAACACAGTACCTTAATGAGTATATAATAGACTAAAAGTACCCTAAATGGCCAGGCATAGTGGCTTATACCTATAATCCCAGCAGTTTGGGAGGCTGAGGAGGGTGGACTGTTTGAACCCAGGAGTTCAAGACCAGCCCGGGTAATGTGGTGAAACCCTGTCTCTACAAAAAACACAAAAAATTAGCCAGGTTTAGTAGTGCATCCCTGTAGTCACAGCTACCCTGGAGTCTGAGGTAAGAGGATTGCCTAAACCAGGGAAGTCAAGGCTGCAGTGAGTCGTGACTTTACTACTGTGCTCCAGCATGAGGAACAGAGTGAGATCTTATCTCAAAATTTAAAAAAATGAAGTACCCTAAGTGCACACACAGAGTTTCCCATACCTTATACTTCTTAGATTCCCCCACCATTGATACTAAGGGTTGTGCCAGTAAAACAGAGACCTGTCACCAACATGCTCAAATTTCCATGGAATAAGAAGACAAATTTTGACTTTTTTTTTTTTTGAGATGGAGTCTGGCTCTGTCACCCAGGCTGGAGTGCAGTGGCATGACCTCGGCTCACTGCAACCTCCACCTCCTGGGTTCAAGCGATTCTCCTGCCTCAGCCTCCCAAGTAGTTGGGATTACACATGCTCACTACGCCCAGCTCATTTTTGTATTTTTAGCAGAAATGGGGTTTCACTGTGTTCGCCAGGCTGGTCTCAAACTCATGATCCCGTGATCCACCCCCCGCGACCTCCCAAAGTGCTGGGACCACAACCATGAGCCACCACACAAAGTCTGTCTTCGTTTCTACTATGGTAAAGAACTTGGCCAGGTGCAGTGGCTTACATTTGTAATCCCAGTACTCTGGCAGTTCAAGGCGGGTGGATCACTTTGAGCCCAGGAGTTCAAGATCAGCCTGGCCAACATGGTAAAACCCCATCTCTACAAAAAAAATACAAAAGTTAGCCAGGTGTGGTGGTGTACACCTGTAGTCCGAAATGTACACCTCAGGAAGCTGAGGTGGGAGGATCGCTTGAACCAGGAGGTAGAGGTTGCAGTGAGCCAAGATCACACCACTGCACTCCAACCTGGATGACAGAGCCAGACCTTGTCTCAAAAAAAAAAAGAAACAAGAGTGGGCACAGCGGCTCACACCTGTAATCCCAGCACGGTGGGAGGCCAAGGTAGGTGGATGACTTGAGGTCGGGAGTTCGAGACCAGCCTCACCAACATGATGAAACCCCCTCTCTACTAAAAATATAAAAAGTAGCTGGGTATGGTGGCAGGTACCTATAATCCCAGCTACCAGAGAGGCTGAGGCAGGAGAATTGCTGGAAACCGGGAGGTGGAGGCTGCAGTAAGCTGAGATCACACCACTGCACTCCAGCCTGGGCAACCGAGTAAGACGGGTGAGACTCCATCCCAAAAAAAAAAGCCAGGTACAGTGGCTCACGCCTATAATCCCAGCACTTTGGGAGGCCAAGGTGGGCGGATCACAAGGTCAGCAGTTCAAGACCAGCCTGAACAACATGGTGAAACCTAGGCTCTACTAAAAATTCAAAAATTAGCCAGGCATGACAGTGCATGCCTGTGATCCCAGATACTCAGGAGGCTAAGGCAAGAGAATTGCTTGAACCCAGGAGTTGGAGGTTGCAGTGAGCCGCAATCACACCACTGCACTCTAGCCTGGGCGACAGAGCAAGACTCCATCTCAAAAAAAAAGAAAAACAAATATGGTTCACTTCTGGGGGAACCAGAGGCAGTATAATAAATTCAGAAATGCAGGTATACCTATACCTAATTTTTTTCTGAAGTAAAACAGAAGCACTAGAGGCCTAATGAAAAATGTCAGTTCTCACTCATGAGTACTCAGATGGGTGATACAAAATGTACCTTTGCAAATTCAACCTATACCCAATGTCAAAGAATCCCCTGATCAAAACAGTGTAATCTTCTGGTTGATCTCTATCAAGAAGTCAGGAAACATGGATCAGGCTAACCTTTCTTCTCAGTAAAATATGCTATGATTCCCAATATGGTTTTAGATTAATAAGACTAAATACATTAAAATTAAAAACTAAACGATTTTACAAGAGGACAAAGATGGTTAAAACCTAAAAGCCACACCACTTCTCTCTGACACAGTATCAGACCCATTTCAAATAAATTTCACTTGAGCAGCTGATGTTATCAACTTCCCCCTACTTTTAACTACAACATCTTAAAATCAAGTCACCCACACCCAAGAGAAAAGATTCAAAAATATGTATCTGTCCTATAAACAACCCAACAGTTCTTATGTCAATAGGAAAAAAAGCATCCTTTGTTCTCAAAAACTGTTCTTAAAAATGCATTCTTCATTTAACACCAAACTCAGTGCCTCAAAAAAAAAAAAAGAAGAAGAAAAATGCATTGTAGAGGCCAGACATGATGGCTCACACCTGTAATCTCAGTAGTTTGGGAGGCCAAGACGGGCGGATCACCTGAGGTCAGGAGTTCGAGGCCAGCCTGGCCAACATGGTGAAACCTCGTTTCTACTAAAAATACAAAAATTGGCGGGGTACAGTGGCTCACACCTATAATCCCAGCACTTTGGGAAGCCAAGGCAGGCGGATCACGAGGCCAGGAGTTGAGACCAGCCTGGCCAATATGGTGAAACCCTGTCTCTACTAAAAATACAAAAATTAGCTGGGCCTGGTAGCACACACCTGTAGTCCCAGCTACTCAGGGGGCTGAGGCAGAATCGCTTGAACCCGGGATGTGAAGGTTGCAGAGAGCTGAAATCATGTCACTGCACTCCAGCCTGGGTGACAAGAGCGAGACTCTGTCTTAAAAAAAAAAAAAGGGCTGGGCACGGTGGCTCACACCTATAATCCCAGCACTTTGGGAGGCCGAGGCGAGTGGATCATGAGGTCAACAGATCGAGACCATCCTGGTCAACAAGGTGAAACCCCGTCTCTACTAAAAATACAAAAATTAGCTGGGCATGGTGGTGCGCGCCTGTAGTCCCATCTACTCAGGAGGCTGAAGCAGGAGAATTGCTTGAACCCAGAAGGCGGAGGTTGCGGTGAGCCGAGATCGCGCCATTGCACTCCAGTCTGGGTAACAACAGCGAAACTGCGGCTCAAAAAAACGTATAAAAATTAGCCAGGCTTGGTGGTGCATACCTTAGTAGTACCAGCTACTCAGGAGGCTGAGGCAGGAGAATCACTTGAACCTGGGAAACGGAGGTTACAGTGAGCTGAGATTGAGCCACTGTACTCCAGCCTGGGTGACAGAGTGAGACTCCATCTCACAAAAAATGAATGAATGAATTGGCTATTTACTATTTGACACCAGAATGATAAATGACCCAGTGATAGTATTACAGTCATCAAACTTTAAAACAAGTAACTGTTTGGACCAAGTGAAGTTAGCAATTTAAGTTTGTAAAGACATTCATTGAAAGCAGATAATTATAAAAGAATGTCAAAGCTGAAATAGTGAACTTTTTTTACCTGATGTTCTGCATGAATGTTATCCCCAGTAGGCCATCGATGTTTGCTATTATTATAGCCGCCTCCTCCACTTCCTCCTCCCCCAAGCTGCTCACCATGCTGCCTCTGAAAGAAGTAGTCCACCATAGCGTCGTCCTGGGAACGGCCTGCAACTCCTATGGATCCTGGGACAGGGCTGGAGTGAGTCCCAGCTGCAAGAGCCTGATTTGCAGCTGGTTGCGGCTGCGCTTGCGACCCTGTTCCAGATGTCAAAACAACAGGCATGTTGGGATTAGCTGGTTCTTGAGGGTGATGTTTCAGGTGGGGGCTGAAAGAGTCCTGCCAAAGCACTGCTTTTCTCTTCAAGACACATGCAACGCTCATTCCACCAACACCTAAGGACAAACAGGTGACAAATGTTTAATATTTACATCTTTTGAAACATAAAATACACTAAGATAAAAACATGAACCCCCTGTCATTTGCAATAAATAAACGTTGTTGGTGGCATGCTCTCTAGACAAGGTATTGAGATCAGAGCTCAATAATATAACTTCAGAAAAGTTTGTTAACCAACATGTAGCAATATAGAATTATACTTTATCAATCTACCAAACTTATTTATATCTCAAACCAACTGACAGTTGTTAAATGAACAAAAGCTTTTTCTTCTTGAGACAGAGTCTCGCTCTGTTGCCCAGGCTGAAGTACAGTGGCACAATCTTGCCTAACCACAACCTCCGACTCCCAGGTTTGAGCAATTCTCCTGCATCAGCCCCCTGAGTAGCTGGGATTACAGGCCCACACCACCATGCCCAGCTTAATTCTGTATTTTTAGCAGAGACCGAGTTTCACCATGTTGGTCAGGCTGTTCTCAAACTACTGACCTCAGGTGATCCGCCTCCAAAAGTGCTGAAATTATAGGCATAAGAGCCACTGGGCCCAGCCAGCAATTTTTTTTTTTTTTGAGACACAGTCTTACTCTGCTGCCCAGGCTGGAGTTCAACGGTGTGATCTCGGCTCACTGGAACATCCACCTCCCAGTTTCAAGTGATTATCCTACCTCACCCTCCTGAGTAGCTGGGATTACAGGCACACACCACCACACCCAGCTAACTTTTGTATTTTTAGTAGAGACAGGGTTTCACGATGTTGGCCAGGCTGGTCTCAAACTCCTGAACTCAGGTGATCTGCCCGCCTCAACCTCCCAAAGTGCTGGGATTACAGGGGTGAGCCACCATGCCCAGCCCCAAACTTTTTTAAAATATCACAACTTTGGCAGGCACTGTGGCTCACCCCTGTAATCCCAGCACTTCAGGAGGCCAAAGCAAAGGATCATGACAGGAGTTTGAGACCAGCCTGACCAACTCTGTCTCAAGAAAAAAAATGAAAACACTAAAGTACAGAAAAATGTTGTGTCCAAGGCCATTCAACTGGCAAGTAGCAGAGAAAGCATTCAAACCCTAATCTGTTCTGTCCCCAAACCTACTTCTTTCTACTAATTCCTTGCAGGAGTAACTCGACAATGTCTCTCAATTGTATCCCCTAGAAGACCAACAAAGAATCCCTGAAATGTTACTATGAAACACTACTATTCAAGTTCCTTAAAATCAAAAACTACATCTGTACTTAAGATACATCACTTGCCAGTTGCGGGTGCTTTAAAAAAAAAATGCTACAAAGTGGCCAGGCATGGTTGTTCACACCTGTAATGCCAGCACTTTGGGAGGCCCAAGGTAGGCGGATCACGAGGTCAGGAGTTCGAGGCCAGCCTGGCCAATATAGGAAAACCCCATCTCTACTAAAAATACAAAAATTAACCAGGCATAGTGGCGCATGCCCGTAGTCCCAGCTACTCCGGAGGCTGAGGTAAATGAATCTCTTAAACCCAGGAGGTGGAGGTTGCAGTGAGCCAACATCACACCACTGCGCTCCAATCGGGGTGACAGAGCACGACTCCATCTCAAAAAAAAAAAAAAAAAAAAAGGTCTATAAAGTAAACAAATCAGTTACCAATTAGGACACACCTGTCCACAGCCACCAGTCTAATTTCAAAGCCATCAGTCTAACAGTCTACTGCTACAAACGCCTTATCTCTCCTCCAAGCCCTGCTGTGAGCTTCAAAAATAAATTTATAAGAAATCTACTATCTCTACAATAAAAATGACCAAAAAAAGAGAAATCTCTTCTGCTGAATAAATAAACCTTCTGATTAAAGCAGCATTTGCTTCTCACAACTAAATTCACGTTTTGAAGCCAGAATAAGACACAATGGAATTTGTAATTTGTTTAAAGCCTAATTTGGAAATGCCTATTGTAGGTTTAGAATTTCAGTCCATCAGAACCTTAGCAGGGACTGGAGTAGTCTAATCTAGACACTAATCCATGCTCAAGTACCAAAACCAAAAAGTCATAGCCCTGTTTCACCACTGGTCTTTCAAAAGTGGAAACCAGCCTAATGCCTTCCTGCTTGGTTCTTTAAAGAATTCATTACTTTCTTAGTACCAATACTAGACAGTCCCATTTTGCTCTAAAGGGAAATCTCGATCTAACACTCTTTGTTCCAGAGCAGGCCAAGAGTTCCAAAACCCAATTTTTGCCACTAAACCAACAACCTGTTTCCTCATCTAGAAAATGAAAGAAATCCTTCTGCTATGACTCCCAATGTGGGTTTGGGGTTTTTTTTCTTAATCAAAATAAGCTAAATATAAAGGTTTTTAAAATTTAAATTCATCGTTAAGACTTTTAGAATTTAGTTACCACTAGTTGAGGCAGTGAAACTCTAGACCCTAACAGAATTCCTCAAACAGCAAATGCAATCTTTTGTGAAATAAAAGCCTTGTCAAAAGTTATCTAGGAAGGTGAGAGGATAATGAGAAATTACCTAAGAAGGATAATGTATGTTATTCCAGTGATGAACACACAAAAAGCCCCGACTTCACCACTACGCAATACACCCATGTACAAAATTACACTTGTACCTCACAAATTACACAAATAAAATTTTAAAAAAGAAAAAATAGCAGGGCACAGTGGCTCACGCCTGTAATCCGAGCAGTTTGGTAGGCCGAGGTGGGTGGATCACCTGAGGTCTGGAGTTCAAGACCAGCCTGGCCATCATGGTGAAACCCCATCTTTTAAAAAAAGAAAAAAGTTATCCAGGGAAGAATATCCACATAAAAGTAGAGTTTATCACTGAAGCACACTAAACACAACTTCATTCTAAAAGGAATGGGGGGAAGGAAAGACTGCTATAAAAATGTTCAAACAAAACAATTGGCTTTTGTAAAGCTATCTGTATGCCCTAAGACTTCCTGCTTTACCTAAAGAGGCAAGGCAGTTTCTCAAACCAGAGAAAACCTGGCAGAAGAACAGTTTCAAAGTTAGCAAATACCTAAGCAATTAGCATGTATCTTGGGTAGTTTTGTAGTATTTTGGCAAATACAGTGCAAAAAATTAAAAACTCAGTATCCTAAATATCAGAAAATACATAAGTTGCTGCTACCTTTTATGGAACTCTCAAAGCTCACTAAAAACTTATGTGTGGCATTTAAAACGTGATTTTTTTTTTACAAATGACACCTTATAAAAACAAGTACTTTAAGTAACTAGTAGTGCTCAGCCTAGCTACTCTTTCACAGCTTTCAAATGTTGACAAAGTTTTTTAAAATACCACTCATAGAGTTGAATTCAAAGGAACACGGTTTAATCTACTTCCAGGGCTCACCTTTTACTAAAATGCTTAGTGGTTTAAAAGGTGTTTATTTTTACCACACTAAACAAACATTCTGTGGTCATAAATTTATTTTAAAGCAGTTCATCTCAAACCCAAACTAAACAAATTCCAACTTCAAAACGCTGTGGCCTTGAACAAAATGAATTCAATTGTGGCTAAAGCAAAACACTAACTCAAAGTTCAGAATCCGGAGAGCGTTTCCAAAGAGCCCAGATAAAGAATCAACAGTCCCGGAGTGTTTTATAAAGTCAAAATTAGCAATGGGTCAAAATGCTTATTTTGCTTACGAAAACTGTATCGGAAGCCACACTTCTTGGGGGTGGACCTGTCTCGGTAAGTTTTTAACTGCTTTCAAAAAACAAACAAAATGCTAAGCCTATTGTTTCAGAAGTTAACTGACTTTAAAACAGAACCCAGGAAAAGCTTCATAAAATCTAATTCTTAATCCCAGTAATAACAGGAATTTAGCAAAATGATATCAAGGGCTGAGAATAGTGTTTTCTTAATTGAACAATAAAAGGTAACAATCCTTGAAGTTATAGGAGGATAAAACCTCCTCTGGTAATGCTGTGTGGCTTTCTGGCTTTGTTTTTTCGGGGGGAGTGAGCTACAGGAGGGAAAAGTTACAGGAGTGTATTCCTCACTTGACGTGGGAATGATAGTGACAAGTAGAACAAATGACCTATGTTTACCAAGCACGTTTGTGAGGACTAAAACTATCTAGTATTGTGTACCTGGATTTTCCTACTAGCAAGGGGTGAATCCCTCTTTGAGTTAAGAGAGACACTAATACGGAGACGCTCAAAGAGGAAGAACCCACCAAAAACACAAGCTCACACGGAAACAAAAGGCCACAGCACCCAGGAGCCTAAAAAGCATTCTGAAACTTCCTGATCGCCACTTCTCCATATTTAAGGCTCGCAAAGTTCCCCCACCGTGAATCTCGCCTGTGGACAAGGGCCACGGCTGCTTCTAAAGCGCTTTATTGTTCCTCCTCCTCCGGCGCTGCCATGGAAGCTCAAGAAGTCGAAGAAATCGGGGTGGTACAGAATTACACTTCATGGCCACAAAGAAGACTCAGGGCTTCGCAAACCCATCAAAAACAGCAACCCGAATGGAAACATCAGTCTTCCGTGGTTCCCAACAGGGCCGGGCAAAAATGTAGAGGCACGTCTACGCCCTGGGCTCGGGCCTAAACCCCCTGCATTTTCCTCGCTTCGACCCCGCTCCCCACCCCCTCCCTCCTTTGATAACAATAGGGGCCTTGCTGCTGACTCCAAAACATGTACGAGGAACAGCGAATGAGAAGCCTCAGCAAGGGCCCCGGCGGCTTTTCCAAAGCCCTTCTCACCCCAACAACCGCTCTCAAACACCAATACAAAGAGACAGTCTGCTCGCTAGGGGTCCGGAGCAGCATTTGGGACCGGTGGGATGCGGATACTCACGGGCGGAGCGGTAGGATGAAGATGGATTTCAGCCCCCCGATCTTCTCTCTCCGGCGCTCTCGCTCCCCCTTACCTTTCACTCCGACAACATGGCGGCCCACTGGGGACTGGGCTGGCGCGGTGCATCCTGGGATAGGCTCCGGCCCCGGCCCCGGCCCCGGCGGTGGCAGCGGCATGTGCGGAGAAGACTGGCGGCTCTGGAACAGGTTGCCT